GTTTGATCTAGCTGAATTTTTACTCTGCTTTAATCTTACTGATCTTTGATACTGACATAATCTCTAGTTCTAGCACAGTTGGCAATTGTCATGACTGTCACCAGAAAGAACCCTAAGTGAAGTAGGAAGGAGGGCTGAATTCCTGAAAGGAACAGATATGACTGTCTCCCTTTACTAGCCTATCTCTCCCCGTTATTGCTTTTACCCTGTATTTTTGACTCAGAGACCTCCAACAGGGCGAGAAGTTGATTTACAAGTTTTACCTCCCATTTCTATTCTTGGCCAAGAATAAAAGTCTCCTTTGCTGCTCAGTGCTCCATTATTGAGTCTACAAATTGGAGAGGGAAAAAGAACCCATTTTTTAGCCAGAAACTGGAAACAATATCTCTAATTCACCCACTCTAAGCTGCTATAGTGTAGATATTCATTATATCATTTTATCTATAAATGTGTTAGTATTTATAGTAAGTACTTCTGTATAATTAAAACGTAGGACTCATTTAAGATAACCCTAATGTCATTATCACCTTAAAAATTAAAAATAAACGTTTAATACTATCAAACATCTAGTAGCGGTGTTCAAAGCTCCCATCCCTTTAAAATTTTTTGGAGACAAGGTCTTTGCTGTGTAGCCCAGGCTGTCCTTGAGCTCTCTGTGAAGCCTAGGCTTGCTTCAAACTCTATCTTCCTTCTTCAGCTTCCCAAGTGCTAGGATTACAGGCATGCACCACCTTGCCTGGTATTTTTCTGTTGTTAGGTTCAAAACAAATCAAGATCAACATAAACCACATGCTATATTATTCTTGGTTTTCATTAATGTGTTTCTCAATTTTTTTTTTTTTTGTCTTTTTCTTTTTTGTCGGTACTGGGGATCAAACTCACTTATGCCGCTGAGCTAAATCCCTAGCCCCTCAAATGTTTTTTTAATCTATAGTCTGCATCTCTCAGTGTATTTGTTGAGGAAAATGGTCATTTGCTCTATAGAACTTTCCTTATTCTCTGTTTTTTTTTTTTTTTTAATACAGAGATTAAACTTGAGGCCTTCCCACTGCACCACATCCCCAGCCCTTTTCTGAGATTGGGTTTCACTAAATTTCTCATGAAGCTACCCCAGCTAGGCTTCTGCCTCAGTCTCTCAAAGTGCTGAGATTACAGATGTGCACCACCTCACCCAGCTCATTTTGACTTTTCTTGGTATAATACTTTTGAGATATTGTATACTTTCTAGCGCATTTCATTAGGAGGCACATAATGTCAGAGTGTCCCTCTTTTTGTGATGTCATCATTTGGTGGAGCAGTTTGCCAGTCTCCTCCAAAGTTCCATTCTAGTCTTCTATTCAGTGGTGTTGGTGTTAGTGACAAGCATGGCCTAGATTCATTTGTCATTGTGGTTTAGAAATTGGTACTGTTCAGGTTCCATCATTCACTTGATTTAACTAGCTGGAATTTTATAAAGAACTTACTTATCACTTCATTATCCTAAGGCAAATTCCTAAGGAAAAGCAAGATAAACACTTGATTCTTTCCCTTTATATTTTCAGCTTTCAGGATGATGAGATGGTATCCGAACATCTTTCAAAGATGACCAATTAGGGTTTTATATGTATTACAAACTTTGACATTAGCATAGTTAAGGTATTTCAATCCTTTTCAGTTATTACTCTTTTTTTTTTTTTTTTTTTGTCTTTTTCCTTTTTATCGGTACCGGGGATCGAACTCACGACTGCCTGCTTTCAAGGTAGGCACTTAAGCCGCTGAGCTAAACCCCCAGCCCCTTCAGTTATTACTCTTGTTGATAGATTGCTCCAACTTTGACCAGTGAATGCTCCTTTGTCATCTGTGTTACTCTTTGAGATAATTTTAGATTTACATACAGTTTGAAGAAATAGAGACCTCATGTGCCCTTTTCCCCCAGTGATACGTCTTGCATAATTGTAATAAAGCATATCAACCAGGATCGTTGATGCCGTTTATCAGACTAACTCAGATTTCACTAATTTTACACACACTCATTTGTGTATATTAAGGTCTGTGTAATTTTATTATGTTGTAGTTTGGGTAACCACTACCACAGCCAGGAAATAGAACCATTTCATCACCAAAAGGGTGCCTTATGCTACCCTTTTATAGGATACCCACCTCCATCCCACCTCTGGCAATTACTGACCTCTTGTCCAATTCTGTGGGGTTTTTTTTTCATTTCAGGAATGTTATATGAATGGAATAATACTATATGTTAACCTGTTGAGACTTTTTTTATTCAGTGGAATTTCCCTGAGACCCATCTAAATTGTTATATATATTGATAATTCATTTTTGTCCCGAGTAGTATTCCACGATGTGAACCTAATGCAATTTGTTTAACCATTAACCCACTTTTGATGACTCTGGTAAAGGACATTTGAGTTGTTTCCAGTTTCTTGTTGTTGTTGTTTTTTGCAAAGAAAGATTAAATTTTTTTTACAGAATAAGGGGAGGGAGAGATATGAAGCCACTCTGATGAATACAGGTCCCAGAGCTGGGTGATAGGGAAGAAAGTCTGGATCCTGTATTCATGGAGAGAGGTCATGATCCCTGCTTCTAAGGCATCTCCAATCCATGAGTTTTTCTGTCTCCTTGCTGAAGAATTTGGTTTTAGTTTGGGATCAACATTGCAACAATCAGGGTGGACAACATTATACAAGCCAGGTTTCTTATTGTCTCTAAGTTACATACTTAGAACTTGGAAAAAGTTATTGCATCCCAAATTCTAAAGGATCTATCTCTTTTTGTTTAAAATTGAAAAGGGGTTCCATCTATCCCTAGAGAGGCACAATTCAGTGTTTCCTCACAGAAGAGTGAAAGCTACACAGATTGTCCTATCTAAAAAAGGTTCAGCGGCATGTTTCTAGTTTTATAACAGGAAAGCTGCTATAAACAATTGTGCACAGGTTTTTTTTTTTTTTTTCTGGTGCTGACAATCGAACTCAGGACCTCACATTTGTCAGGAAGATGCTTATACCTCGGAGCCAAATTGTGCACAGGTTTTTATGTAGTTTCCCTGACTGTGCACAGGTTTTTATGTCAACATATTTTTACAGTCTCTGAGACATGAACTCAGGGCCTTGTGCATGCCAAGCATATCACTGAGCTATACCTGCACCCTCATTATTTTTATTTTTATTTTATTTATTCTGATAGGTATGTAGGGAAATCATATAGTGGTTTTAACTTGCATTTCTGCCGTACAGCCCAGGCTATTGCATCATCTGGAGAGCCTCCTTCCCTGAATCTCCAGGAGGGGCCCTTGTTAATGTCGATATATCTACCTAGTTTAACCTTAAGAACACATGTGTCATGGTTGACACACTGTGTCAACTTGAGAAGTCTAGAAGCTTAACTAAATAACTCAGCAGCTCAATATCCAGGCTTGTAGAGGACAAGCCATTTCAGCCCTAGAATCTGTTCATTGCTTCAATTGGAAACTAAGTGATTCAGCAGGGAGCCAGGATCCTTACTTTGTAAACATCCTCAGCCTGTGCAAGAGGAGGGTACTGAGATGAGGTGAGTGCTACCCCCACCAGGAGAGGCGTAGCTTGCTTACAGTATAAGGAAGGAAAAGAGGCTTGTCTTCTCCCCCTTTGCTGTTGCTGCCTTTGCAATCTTCTGCTTCCTTGAAGTATTGCCCCTGTGCCACTGCCCTGCCTTGGAGCCAGCTGATTACAGACTGAAACCTCTACAAACTGTGAGCCTTTCCTCCTTTAACTTTGTGTGTCGGGTATTTGTCTTAACAACAAAAGAAAAGTAACCAAGACGACATGTCACTTTGTGTGTGTGTGTGCATGTATGTGATGCTGGGGACTGAACTATGGGCTGGATAAGCATTCTGTCTCTGAGTTGCACCCCAGGTAACAGGTAAGGCAGAGCAAAGGAACCAAAACTCCAGTCAAGGTGGGTATTTCTGGCAGTATGTTTAAAAGTCTCAAACAGAAAAGAAACATGATGCATTTTGGGGGTGGCTAAGCCTTTGAGAGTTCTTGCATTGTTCCAATGTTTCAAGGGTACTTTTTCAGAAGACCAAAAAAATATAGCTTTATACCTGCATGTTCCTTACTGCTGTCTGAGGTAGAGAATAAAAGGGTCATAATTATCATTTGGCTGCTGTGTTTTAGTGTTCTGGAACTTCCAATAGATTCCTTTTTTATAAGGAATTAAAGACGTAGCACAAGAAAGGAATCATCTCTGATTTGCACAGGGTTGTAAACCTCTGTCTAGGTGAGGAGATGAGTGCCATGACCATGGAGTTAGGTTGTGTCACCTTGGTATTCCTGGCCCTCCTGCATGGCCATATTCTGTCTTTCAGGAAGGAGGTGACACACTAGCCTCTCAGCAATAGACTGTTCCCCTAGAAGTGTCACCATAGTGGAAATCAGTCACACGGTCTTAAGATCTCCTGTGTATGAAAGTGTACTTTGCAGTCTCTAAGGGCTGGTGACTGATATTTTTGACTATTTAAAAGCAAGCATGATTTTTTTAAAAAAGTGTAGAAACACTAATACCTCCCTCCTACCTGGTCACCTTGTGGCAGTCACTTTCAAAAGTTTTAGGTTCTGTTTGACCATAAAACTGAGATTTTGGCTGAGTACAGCAGCACATGCCTACAATCCCAGCACTTGGTTTAGGGGGAATTGGAGTAGGAGGATCACAAGCTCAAGCCCAGGATGAGTAATTTAACAATTTAGTGAGTCCATGCCTGAAAATAAAATACAGACTGGGAATATAGCTCAGTGCAAAGGTCCTGGGTTCAGTCCTCAGTATGAAGAGACAGAGAGGTGGAGAGGGAGGGAGTGAGAGGGCAGAGAGAGAGAGAGAAAGAGAAAAGAATATGAGACTTTGGTATCATTAGTATCATGTAGAAGTTACTGGCTAGTTATTACTAGTCATGTTAATACCCTGGAATCCTCAGTCTTCTAATCAGGAGAAGGGAGTCACATACCCACCTCCCCCAAGTGATCTGAGAATAGGTTTACTAGTTTATTTCTTGGTGCTTTCAAGAACTTGTATAAAAATCAGCACAGTAAGCTACAAGCAACAGTGGACAAGAAAAGGAAATGCCACTCAGTTTGTTTCATTGTTGTAAGTTGGCTTTAGCAAGACAGACTGCCATGGGCTGAAGCCAGGAGAAAGCAGAGTGAAGCTAGGCCCTGGAAAGGAAGGGCTCAGGGCGTGGAGCTGGTTCTGAGTGGTGGACTTCAGATCCAGATATCAGAGGTGCAGTCACCTCCTGGATAGCGCATCTCGTGGGCTAGGGCTGGGCCAAGGGGCTCCTTCCCAAAGTCCACCAGGAAGTTGGGGTTCAACTTCAGCCCTCCCTTCTCTGTGTCAACATCGACCTGCAGGATCACTGAACCTTCCCTGGTAGAAAAGGGACAGGATGAGGGAAAGATCAGAAGAGGTCACCCACTCCTGAGATTTGTGAATGTGGGGATGGGTTCCTGAGGAAGGAGCAGGGTCTGAGTGGACCATCTGTAGGTTTGGGTGCAGGTGGAGTTTCCCAGGAGTCTTCAGATAGCTATGTAATCCCTCAGGGAGAAGGAGGTGGGAGAGGTGAGCCCAGGGAGTCTGCTTACCTGATGAGATCAGGGTAAAACTGCTTGTCCCAGGCACTGTACAGTGATGTGGTAACATAGAGACGCTTCCCATCAAGGCTAAGCTGGATCATCTGAGGCCCTCCAGCCACCCTTTTTCCCTTGAAGAAAGTGGGTATCAGACCCCAAAGGTAATCCTAGGAGGGGATTATAGGCACCACCCAGATACCAAAAGCATGTTCCTATGCTATGCTCCCTTATCCTTTCACCCCTTGAGCCTGCATCTGAGGGGGCCTGAGAGGACAGGAAGGGGGCATCACCTTGATCACCAGGGGATCTGGCTGGCAGTTCAGCTCCTGGTCCTCCAGCACTTGCACCAGTCCGTCCTTGACAATGCTGCCACCCAGGAAGATCTGGAGGGGAGGAGGAGGAGGTGTAGAGGACAGAAATCTATGGTGAGAGGCATGGATGTTGTGGGAGAGCAGTTTGTCTGCTCAGGGGCCTACACTCCTGGACACATTCCTGTGTCCAGCCATGGCTTCCCCAGGCCTGACCCTACACCATCCTGTAGCCCATGGTTTTGCTCTTCCTGCTCCTCACGGCCACTTTACACCTTCTACCTATCTCCACAGTGCTCTCCTTTTACTCTTTCTCCTTATTTTTCTAGGACACCCACCTGGCCGGTGAGGCGGGGCCTCTGTGGGTCAGAGATGTCATACTGCCGCACGTCCCCATGCAGCCAGTTGCTGAAGTACAGGAAGCGGTCATCCAGGGACAGCAGGATATCAGTGATCAAGCCTAGGGCATACAGGTGCAGAGGCTTGGTTCCCAGGCCAGGAATCAACCTCCCAATTTGCATCCTCCTCTTAGTACTCACCTGGCATTTCAGGTAGCATCCAGCCCTTTACTTTCTTGGGGGGCACCTGGATCACTTTCTCCACTGACCAGCTACCTTCCTACACCAGGGAGCAGAGGGTAAGTTAGGAGGCTGGCAGGTGGAGGCTGTATGAGGGCTGAGAGGGACAGAGTAGACACACACCCTCCATCCCTCTGCTCCGTTTTGGTACTGGGGATTGAACTCAGGGAATTCACAAGGTTGACAAGGTGGAAATTAGCTGAGCATCAAGAGAAAGAAGGCAGGGCACATGGTCTTGTTTTATTCCCATGAACCAGGGAACATCATCCTGGAATCGGGGACAGAGTTGTGGACAAAACAGCTGGGATGCAGGGGTGAGGGTGAGGCTGGAGGGTGCAGGTTACCTTGTTTCTATAGAAATGCTGGATGTTGGAGCTGAGGGCACAGCCCACAAAGCCCTCCGTGGCATCTGGGTCATGCAGGAAGCGGATCTCCAGAGGAATGAGTCCGTCCTTCAAAGGCAGGGTCTGTATGAGCTCATGGCGCTGCCAGTCCCATATGTGTAAGTGGCTCCCATACAGGCCTGAGTAGGGTGGGTGGAGGGTGGCTCAGATTGGGGGTAGGGGCTGGGGTTGCTGGGTGCTGGGTGTATGCTGGGGCCTTGGCTAGGGCAGAAGGGATGCTTGCACAAGCTTGAGCACTCAGCACGTCCTGTACCATAACCCAGAGTATCTAGGGACCACTAGAGGAAGTGAATTTGGGGCAGAAAGCACACATAGGGGATTCTTACCTTCCTTCACATGAGCAGGGTTGAAACCATCTTTGAAGACATTGGGAGCTGCCCATTCAGTGCTGATCATGACATTGTGTCGAGGCTGGTACCAGAAGTCATAGCCCATGGGTGCAGCACCCCCAGGTTGCTCCCAATTCCCCTTCACCTGAAAAGTCTCCCCATCCAGCAGCACAAAACCACCTGAGCAGGAAAGGAAGGAGGGTGTCAGGTGGAGACACTACTGAACCCAGCATTTACATCAGGTAGATGTAAACCCATTGCTTGTCCCCCTACAGGGCTGCCAGCTCCTTAAATTTAATGATTCAAAAGGTCCTTCCTAGGAATGATTGGGGAGAGATAGGCCTCCTACTTACCTTTCTCTCAAACTTAGGGAAAATTTTCTCTTTGCAGTAAGAGATTTTTGGAGATTTAGTAACCCCTGTTTCGCTTGTTCAGTTCCCATGATGAGAGTGGGGTTTCTTCTAAGTCTAAGCTCCACTGTGCTCACAGTTTTTTTTTTTGTTTTGTTTTGTTTTGTTTCTTGAGACAGCCTCATCATGTAGTGCAGGCTGGCCTTGAACTCACTATGTACTTCAAATGGGCCTCAAATTTGCTGCAATCCTTCTGCCTTAGCTTCCCAAGTGCTGGGATTACAAGCAAGCATGCACCACCACACCAAGCTGGCTCTCTACCTTTTAACTAAATTCATTAGTTAAGGCTTATCTTCATAGGAATAATTGAAAGAACTGAAGCTACTTGCTAACGCTTCAAATACTGGCTGCATTCCTCTGGCTCGGCATTCTCCTCTTTTCAAACTTGGACCTGCTTGCTCACAGAGATATTCTGCCCAGGTTCCACAGTTGTAGTTTTGTGAGCAACTAGTGCTAGCAGGTACCTTTGGCATTGCCCTTGGGGTCTCCCAGGGAGCTGATCATCACTTCCCCACTGGCCAGGCAGTGGCTGGTGTGGAGGTTGCCCAAGTTGCACTTGTTATAGACCTCCTGGGGCTCGATGACCTGGAGAGGAGTGAAGAACAAGGTCAGAACTTTACAGTGCTGAGGGTCCCCACTGCCTGCCTCTATACTCCGTATTGTATATGCTGCCCTTGTCCCCTTTGCCTTCCATACATGGTTACAACTCTCTGCAGGAATATGGCAAAGACTCAGTCTGGGAGCTTCTATAAGCAGCAAAGGAAAATGAAAGACACTGCCAACACCCCCCCCCCGAAAGCACCCCCTCTGCCACCTCACACTCTATCCTGAAGGCACAAGGTCTTATAGGGTAGGCCCCATGCCAGTGTCAGCTTTGTATCACCAGCAGCACCACCACAGATGTCTGGTACCAAGATGGTACAGAGACAAGTGTAGGGAGAAAAGATTGTAGGTTGTGCTTCAGTGAAGCCCTTAGTACATAGATGGGTGGGGGAAATTGGTCCTTACACTCTCTGAGAAAGACCGGAAGCCTCTTCCCTCCTCCCCTGGGCCAACGTACTGCATGGTGAAAGCTCAGCATGCCTGGTAACCCTGTTTTTTTTTTTCTTTCCCCAGCACTGAGGATCGAACGCAGGGCCTTTGTATTGAGTTACATCCACGGCCCTTTAAAAAATTACTATTTTTAAAATTTTGAGACAAGCTCTCACGAAGTCACTGAGTTCCCTAGCCTGGACCCAAACTTGTGATCTTCCTGCTTCAGCCTCCCAGAGCGCTGGGACTAGAGGTATGCACATCTGGCTGGTGATCCTTTTCTAAATTCTGACCTCCCTCCCTGCTGCGGAGTTGCATCCTGCACAGGTGGAGGCAGCAGTTTAGGGGCAGCTTCCTGCCTACAGGTTTTTGGGGTACAGTATAGTCTCCCTGCTGGTGAGGCAGAATACGTGCTTTGTGCAGCTTTGGGGCACGGGGCTGAGAGCCCACGTCTACCACGTAGATGCGAGAGGAAATAAGACAGGGCAGCATCAGCTTGGTGCGTGACTTGGTGCTGTCCCCGAAGCAGCTGCTGCAGGTATTCCATCCTGAGTGATGCAGCTCATCCTTCAGGTAGGGCATGGGCAGCCGGTGGATGACCTAGTATGAAAGGAGAAGTTGTGGTGCTTGCCTAGGCCGTGCCTCTGTGCATTTTAGTTTGCTATTGAGACACAACCTAGATTTCAGCCCTTCTTTCATCCTGCGGGACGATCAGTGAATCATTTGCACAGCCATATCCAGGGAAGACAAAAAGAGGATGGAATTAGAGAAAAGAAGCACAGAAGCCAGGGCAGGGAGGAGTCTGAAGGGTATGCCAGTGCCCACGCCTGGCCTCACCTGGCAATACTGTGGAGACTTGGGGTCAACGTCCACAGTGGCCAGATAATCTGGGGCTTCAATGCCTGTGTTTCGGTAAATGCAGGGCAGGTAGATAATCTGCTCCCGCGGTCCTGTTGGGTAGAAAGCAGGCAGTGGGGATGGCGGGGTGGGCAGGAATGGTGAAGGCAGGCCTGGTATGTCAGAGGGCTGAGGTCTCTACCCCCACTAGCCATGGATTTGAGGGGCACAGTTCTTGAACACAGGGCAGTTACCTTTCATGGCCTCCCGAGGAGTAGGGTAGCCAGGGCCACAGTTACACTTCGTAGCTGTGGAAATAAGAAGGCACGTTGGCTGGAGCTCACTGAGGGCAGAGGTCCCTCTCCACCTGTGACATACTCCTGGCTGACACGTGCCTGGCCAGCTTGGACTGTCCCAGGGCCCTGCCCCAGCCCCACTGCTGGGCTATTCTCTGAGGTCCCTCAGAGCACTGTGTACAGGGTTGATGGGAAGACCTGAAGGGGAAAGACCCCCTAGCAGGACCCAGGGTAGAGGGGTTAGGGCAAGTGAAGCAGAGGCTGCGTGTTGTAGTAGTTATGACATCGATTTAACTCTCAGCCTCTGTACCATGGACCAACTGTGGGCACTTGGACTGATTGTGTAACCCCCAGGCCTCCATTTCCACTTGTCTGTAAAAGAGGGAGAATAAGAACACCACCAGGGCTTTTATGAGACATATAGAAGCTCAGTCACTGTGCAGCTTCATGCTGCCTAGTGGGAGCCCAGGAACCCTGGCTGTTCTGGTGAGCAGCAGTCAGGGAGTGGGGATGTTTGTGCAACCTTTCCTGCGACAGTTTAGAACACTTCCTGCTTTCCTCTCCTGGCCCCTCCTCCAGGGTGCTGACCACAGCCTGGATTATATAACCAGTCCAGAGGAGGGGAAGGAGGTGGGAGTCTCAGGCTGCTGCTGGCTGGAGGTCCTTAGGCAGTTTCTAGCCACCATCTGTTATAGGAAGTGGCCTTCCTTGACCCTGAAGTCTTGCAAGAAAAGACAATAACCATTACAAAGGACAGCGACCAGGACCCCAGCCACTGTCCAGCAACAGTTTGGAGCCAGCCGGGAGGAGGAGTTGCAGAACAACCCAGAAGAGACTGCATGCTGGAAGAAATCCTGGAATGGAATTCACAAGACTGGGCACTGTCTCCTGCCTTGTGTGTATATGTGTGCAGGGCAGCAGATGAGAAGACAGGAGTATCCAGAGTCCAGCCTCTGCTGGTCCCTGGGCCCTGATATGTAGGAGCCAAGTCATTTAGGAAGCAGGCAGGCAAGTCCAAAAACCAACCAAGTTTCATGGCATAAGCCTGTAATTTCAGCACTCTTGGGGGTTGGGAAAGAAGAATTTCAAGTTCGAGCCCAGCCTGGGCAATTTAGCAAGACCCTTGCTTAAAAAGGGACCGGGGAAGTACCTCATCCTGAGTTCAAGCTGCAGTACCTTAAAAAAAATATTCTAAAATTCTGAACCCGGCTTTACTTTCCAGATTTGACATCTTCTGTCCCCACTATCTCCCCTTTATTTTCCAAAGAGGAAATAATAACAACAATATCCTACTACATCTTAAGGTAGATTTAGAGGTCAAATAACAGTCATAATTACTACGAATTAAAATAAAAAATACGGACAAATAAGACTTTGCAAAAGTTCTTCAGAAGGCTGGAATAAAGGTTGTATAAATATAAGTAGGGTTGTCAGAGGTGGGAGAGCAGAGGGCAGTGCTTGATCCCCTGAAAGAAGGCTGCAGTTGGAGGGGAAGCATTATAGAAAGGAATTAAAGAGACTTGTTTTACCATACAGCCAAGGTGTGCCAGGGCTTGGCACAGGATACTGGGGGAGGGGAAGGAAGTTGCTGGACACAGAGGAGGAGATTCACAAAATCTGAGACATCAAGATAGATATGAAGCCAGGTATGGTGGCACATGCATATAATGCCAGCACTCTGGGAGGCTGAGGCAGGAAAATCATGAGTTTGAGCTCAGCCTGGGCAACTTAGTGACTTAGAAAGACCCTGTCGCAAAGTTTAAAAATAAAAAAGGGTTCGGGATGCAGCTCAGTGTGAAGGCCCTGAGGTCCTTCCTGGCATAACACCCTCAAAGCAAAACACAACACAAAATATACATGCTTCAAAGAGCCAGAGGGAACAGTAAAAGTAACATAAAGATGTGGCTGTTTCCACAGCATCAGCTCAACCTTGCTCTGTCTACCCGCAACATGTCCTGGAGTCTGGCCTGAAGGCTACTCAGGCAGTGGGGAGCCTTGCTCCTCTTTCTGGGGGTGCCCTCCTGGCTTAAGCATCTCAAGCAAGGCTGCTGAGCATCTTGCATTTGAGACGAACCCAGAGGGAGCTCAAATAGCTCTTCTATGCCAGGGTGGTGATTGGACATTGTGCCAGATATAGTATCAACTCCAGGAAGTAAGTTCAAACCTCCAGACTCTTCAGCCTGACACCCAGGAGCCCACAGAATGAGAAGCATAAGGGCTAGGGGACAAGGGGGCCACTGAAACAGGTCCTTAGCAATAGAGTGTGGAATTGAGGCTGGGGATTTAGCTCAGAGGCATAAGCACCTGCCTTGCAAACGTGCAGTGGTAGTTCAATCCCCAGTACAAAAAAAAAGAGAGAGTGGGGTCCCTGACTTCCCTCCTGAAGTGACTGGCTGTGTGGGCAGCTGGAGAGGGCATGGAAGGCTTCGGTCTGCTCTCTCTTGGAGGAAAACAGGATTGTCTGTTTCAGCAGTGACAGGCAGGGACATCAAGGCTCCCCCTAAGAGTTCTGCCTTGTCAAATTGTCTCAGCTACCAGAAAAACTCCCTACCCAGGCCTCTGATAGGAAGAGCTGGATAAGAACCCAGAGTTACCCTTTCCAGCAGTCCCTCCCCACTCTCAACCTCTGGGAAATGCTAGGTGTGCGTGTGTGTATGTGACGCATGCAGGGAAGGGACCATGAAGAGAATAGTCCTCCCTCGCCTAACTGCCCCCATCCTCCAATTTTAAGTCATTTCCTGGGGAGGGGACCCTCTAAATGAGAGCACATGAGGACTGGACAGTGCACAGCTGTCAGAAGCCCCTGTGCTTACCCATGCTGCTGGCAGGTACACTTTGATCCAGAGGAGTTGGCCAGGAGTGGACAGAGGTGAGGCAAGACGAGGCAAGAAGAAACCGCACTCCTGTCGGGCAGGCTGCACGGGAAAGGGCAAAGGGAGGAAATTTATACAGCCAATCGGGTGCAGGGGCGGGGCAGGGGGAGGGACCAGGCTGCAGCCTGGGGAGAGCTGCAAGGCGGCTGGCCTGGTGGCTGGTGTTTGAGTTGGAGGTGGGGGAGGTGGAGGAATGCCTGAGCATGTACATGTGCGTGTGCGTATGCGTGTGTGTGTGTGTGTGTGTGTACCTGGGCATATACAGACACGTGCGTGTTTAGTGCCTTTAGTAGATGCCTCCTATGTGGTGAGCTGTGTCAGGGTATGTGCATGCTCCCGTGTACTCATATGTTGCCTGTGCCTTTATATTTGTGGCTGTGTGTGTATATCTATCCGTGACGGTGCGTAAATTTTTGCTTGTGTATATGCTTGCATGTTAGTATTTGTGTATGTATGTGTGTCTATGTTTAGATTTGTCTGTGTGTGTGTGTGTGTATGTGTGTGTGTGTGTGTGTCTGCCAGTGTGCATGTGCGGAGAGGTGTATACATGTGAGCATGTGCACACACGTGCTTCTGTACCTACGAAGGCTCATCTATGCATTTGAATATGTGTCTTGCCATTTGGAATACCTGGGCTATGAGCCACAGCCAGACTCAGCTCCCTGATAAGATTGTCCTCTTCTCCCAAAGGCCAGCCTTCCTGTTTGGGACTCCTCACTCATGCCTTTCTGCCACAACTGCCCCCAAGGAGCAGGGCAGAGGGCTGGGGCCAGGGTCTACTTTTCCCAGAATAGTTGAGCCCTTGAGCTTTGAAGTGGGAGAAAGTCAGCAGCCTGTTATTACCCTATATTACCCTTGTAAACCTCAGGAGGTGAAAGTGGAGCACCTCCCCCTCATCTCCTAGCCTGGTGTTCAACAGCCCTCTGAGTCTGGGTGGCAGCTCTACAGCTGCCATTGTTTCTAACTGGTCTGTGGTGAGTCGGGAAACCCTCACTGTCTTTATCTGTCTTGGCGAGGAGTCCTCCAGCTCCAAGTCAGTAACTGCCCTTGCTGCTGAGCCTGCTGATATAACATCCTGAGGACAGGCAGATGACAACCGCTTGCTGAAGAGCTTGAAGCAGGGTTACTTAAGCAGGGTTGAGACCTGATCCCATTAAGTCTGGGCTGCCCCATTAACTCACACTGGCTCAGAAGCCAGGGTTTAAAGAACTGGACAAGGCACAGTTCAAGGGAGCCCCTCAAGCCTGGTCTCCCATAGGAGCCAGGCGCCTCCCTTCTCAGACTTGGCTACTTGCCCAGGGAAACCCCTTTTCTCACTCTTCACAGAGCCTGTTGACTGTGACTATGGGAACCACTTTCATCTCCCTGGACAAAAGCGATGGGGTGTGTTTTTTATTGGGTAGGGAGAAGAGTAAAGTTTGGGTTTGAGGTTGCCAGTAGCGGTACCATGGGGAACAAAAATAAAGAGGCCTCCAAGACGTCAGCCGCATCTCGCTTCTGGCAGAAGCTACGAAGGCCCCGACAGGTCCAGAGAGAAATGTCTCTGTACTACATGACCATGTAAAGGTAGCGAATATAAAGTTCATTTTCAGAAAGAAAGCAGATGAGTGAGCCAGAAAGAGAGAGAGACAGAAGAAGGGAGAAGGGGCATGCACTCTGGAGCTTCCCAACCAGCAGAAGGAGGGGAGGAAATCTGGGCCTTGGTGCACTCTGTGTCCCCTGTCTCCCCCGGATGGGGGCCATATGCCCACAAGGAAAGCCCAGGGTCAGGGTCTTCCCTTATCCTCAGTGTCGCTCATCACTATTGAGGCTGTCTCTTCTGCTATCCTCACCATGGCAGCATAACCAGCCGGGCATCAAGGCAGCCTTGAGTATGTAGCTGCCCCACAGGCAGGCCCCGAGGGCCGCTTCCTTTCTCCCTGGTTTCCTAGCTCCCTCTACTCCTCCCAGCTTCGCACTGACCCTCTGTGCCCCCCACCCAGCTTTTCATCTTCTACTTCTGCCTTCTGCTGTCCTGCTGTTGGCTGAGGTGGCCCACATTCAAGATCTGTGAGAGAGAAACCCCACCCCTGGCCTCTTGTCAAAAGTTCTTAGGCTATTAACTCCACAAGAGCCTCTAGCGTATTTAGTGTGTGCATCTGTTGACTACCCATTTTTTCATGGCCCCTCACCACCTGGCTGGTCTCCGAAGTACTCCTGACCTCTAATGGCTGCTTTCTCACTGACCTGACCAGGGCCAGGCAGCTGGATGGGAATGTCACAATCCCAATCCCAATCCCCTGGAGCCAGGAGGCTGTCCAGGGAGAAGCACCCAGGGCCTCTTCCTTTTTCTGGCTGAGGCAGTACCTGGACTTCCGGTCAGTGGTAGACACGGCCATTCCAGGCACAGCAGCGTCTGCAAAATCCTCCTATTGTGCTTCTCAAGAGCTGCAGCCTTCCTTCCCTATCTATTCTTCCCTTCCCTAGCCAAAAACCAAGCCCAGCCAGTGATTCCCAGATTCACAGCAAGGGGTGGTGAGTGGGGAGCACCCTGAGTTGGCTCCCTTGATCTAACCAATGTGCATGTATGTGTAAGTGTGTGTGTCTGCACACACAAAAGCAGGGCTGGGTGGGGGGGCCTATGTTTATTTTTGTTGTTTGCATTGACAGGAAAGCACAGCCTTGGAGGAGGCCAGTAATTTCCTGACAGCTGGACCTGGGTGGTGGTTGTGTAATGACTGCTCCTGAACTTAGACCCTGGTCTCTGGGAACAGAAAGTGGATTCTTTGGACCAGGTCGGGGAGATGGGGAGCAAGGAGGGTCACTGTGGAGGAAGGCAGGCCAAGGCTAGGTACCTCATTTCCTTCTCCCTCAGCCAGATTTCTTTTGGCCTCTATAATCAAACACATGGGGAAGTCAGTAAAACCAGACTAAAACCAGACTAAACTCAGCGAAGGGAAAGGAGATGATGAAATTAATCTTCATGAATATTTTATTAGGTTTTTCCAGTGCAGTTGAGAGAGAGAGAGAGAGAGATAAATACATAAAGAGGCCTTTATTGTGGGTATGGGAGGACTGCAGAAGAATGTAAGATCCCTCCAAAAGTGGGGCTGGGGAATGGTTTTTAAGGAGTTGGGCTGGGGCTGGGGCGCTTGGGTGATGGTGGAGTCTCGGGCTTGGTGAAGGCTCTGCGCAGCCGCAGAAAGGGAGCCAGAGGGTTTTTTCCCTGAACCTAGAAGAACACAGCAGTTGATTTTGGAGAAATTGTTCTTTGGGGTTGGTGCCCAATTGGACAGATGTCATGTTAGAGATAGCTAAGCCCCAGGATGACAGAATCTATCAATTTTAATCTAAAAAAATTGGGATTATCTCTAGAAAAGTCCAAATAAAAGAGAAGCCACAAAAATGCAGCATTAGGGAGTGAATCAGGGAGGAAGGATAATTCAAATGCACAAATCACCTACGATACATCCTGACCCTGGCTGCACGTTCACATTTCATCTTTGCTATGGTCTCCTAGTCTCTGTTTTACCTGGAAGAAACTGAGCACAGGTGAAGAAAGGGTGAAGGCCATTGATGGCTAGAACAGGATTCCCACCCTGACCCTCTGACTATAGAACACACAGTTTTTGTCATAACTTTGTGCTGTTTCATGGTTTTCATTTTGCTTTGTTTGGCTCAGTGGGAAAAGAAAGCGAGAAGAAGGAAGAATCAGAAATGCAGAAAGCTGCAGGACTTTTTATTTAGGAAGGCTCAGGACAGAGAGAGACTTTTTCTGAGAGAATGTAAAGAAGCATTGTCTGCTGAACTGAGCAGTGAGACCTTGAGGCAGGAGTGATGATGCATGGAAAGAGACTGGAAGGCTCTGTGTCTAAAGACCTCATGCATGCTAGGCAAGTGCTCTCCACCTGAGCTATACTCTCTCAGCCCCCAACTTTTTATTCCCCACTCTTTAAAAAGTTTTTAATTGTGAGTTAGTGTCTCATTAAGTTGCTGTTATGGATTAAAAACTGGTGGTCAACTTAACGCCAGCTGGATTACGTCAGCACGGTGCTGAGCTCAGGTGCTCCATCTGAGGAAAGTTGCCAGCAAGAGAGAGGTGGAGAAAGAGAAGCTATTGCATTGAGGCACTGAGGCATTGATGCATTGTGAGTTCTCCTACAAGTTGCTGTTTGAGCTGCTGGTTCTCCTGGAGAAGCTCCGGTCCTCATATTGAGCATTGCTTCGTGGCTCCAGAGGGGAAGACATGTGCTGCTTGGTCTCCAGGATGAACTCATCACGCTGGCTTCTAGGCATGTACTCGATTGTGCTTATCATTGGAGGAGCTCTGGGCCCTCTGTGACACTGAGGATGGCTGTGGTGCCTTTCAGGACAGCCCTGGACTTTGTTGTGAGTGTGACTTCTTGGCTCCAGCATTGAACCCTCATTCCACCAGCACAGCTCCTTTACCCCGCTGGCATGGACTTCCTGGCTTCCACTGCTAACCTTTGGGCCTTTCTGGCACAGATCCATAAAAGACTGGCGTGTGTCGTTGTGGGCTCTGGACCTTCATTTGGACTTGTGGGAAGCATTGTCATGAGCTCTGGGTTTTCAACTGGACTCATGTGGGATATTGCTGTGGAATTCAGGTCCTCAGCTGAATATTCTATGTCTTTGGTGTTGCTGATAGATTTCCTGAAGTTTCTTGTGTTACCTTTGGGAGACCATCATAAAACAATATTATAAACTCCATGTCCTGATTCTAATTGTTCTATTCACAACCCCTGACTACAACAGTTGCCCAGGCTGGTTTTGAACTTGTGATCTCCCTGCTTCAGTTTCATGAATAGCTGGGATTATAGGGGTGCACTACCATATCCAGCTACTCTTTGTTGTTGTTTTTAGTGTTTTTTCTTTTTTCCCCAGCTACTTTTAAATTTTTTAAAATAATAAGCATATAGGACTTTTGTAAAAAAAATAAAATCCCAGAGAAAAGTATTAAAGGGAAAAATGTAAGGAGAAAGAATAAGAAGACCTACTCAGATGTGAGTGAGGGCCACAGCAGAACCCCAAACTGGGGAGAAGGACTGGTCCTGACCTTTATTACTGCAGCTCTCCCACCCA